TATGGGATGCCATTAAAGACGCTCACAGTGATGGGTCCATTAAAACACTAAAACAGGTAACTTTTGAAGATCAGAATTTCCCACAACTTTTCCTGATGGCTGTACATTTCTATGGAATTCAAGAGAAGGCAGAATATGTATGTTCAGATCCTGATAAGACGAAACCACATTTTACACTCAACTGTCCCGTATATGTAAGATGCACATCACCAATACGGCGATATATGGACCTTGTGATTCAAAGAATGGTAATAGCAGCCATATATGGCGATGAGTCACCGTACAACAAGGAAGAAATAGTGAAGATGTGCACCATGTGTAACCAAACTGAAGACAAACAGAAATGTTTTGAGAGTGACTGTAGAGCATTGAAGTTTGCATTGAAGGTACATAATACACCTTTAAAGGCAATGGCAGTTGTTGAAACGGCTAATGACAGTTCTATAGATCTGCAAATCCTGCGAATAAGAAGCATCCCATCATCTGAGCGAAAAATCCCACTAAGCCTGATGAAAATATCCACACAACCAAAATATGATGAAGCTACAGAATCGTTGAGGTTATCTTGGTTAGAGCATATTTATGATTCTAAACTTGGTGAAAATAATACTGTCAAACCAACCACACCAAATAACACAACAATTCAATTGCAACGAATGCGGCACACTTTCGCAACCTCTACTGAAACGTGGTACAACTTTATTATGAGCGTTTTGCATGGGAATCAACATAATAGTCGTAGGCTTATTACTCAGCTGGAACAAGAAAGAAGAAAATGTAACAGGGAAAATGCTGTTACCCATGACATATCCTCGGAAAGAATAGACAAGAAAGGAAATAGAATTGACCCATGCTGCTTTACAAGAAATTTTCGAATGAGTGATGTATTGGAGTTGCAGATCGGTGCCCACTATAGTCGTGGAATGTTGAGTCCAAATATAGAGTCTGTGAAGCTATCAGAGGATTTTAGTATTTGTATTGAACATCGTAAAGACGCTGTTGGTTGTTTCAGTGTGAATGCAGAGAAGAAAATGCCATCTCTCAGAAACCGACATGGTTGGGACATTAACAATTATCAGAATAGATGGATTACAATACTCTCTATGTCTGCTGCTGAGTCTGCTGTACGTCATAATGAAAATATCTTCATCAAGTCTTTGTCAGTTACATGGTCTGTATCATCACAGGGGGAGTATATTGGCACTTTCTTTTTACCAAGTAACTTCTGCGAAAGTAGACATATCACTTTTCACTCATCAATTGGTGACCAAGGGCATGATTACATTTGTGTAAAATGTCAACAATTCTCAGTCAAAAAAAGAAGTACTCCTAAGTTCACTAATGGAGACACACTTTTTTTTGACAACAACTTCTGTTGGATTGCTCACTGTATTGTATCACGAGTGCAAGTGGAGAAAAAAGATGGCAGTGAAGATGGAACCACCATAGTTGATATTAAACTAAAATCCACATCAGTGAATATCTTAGAACAATGTCTTACAAGTGAGCAGTCTTCAGTGGAGCAAATATGTACTGTGGAGATTATTAAGAAGTCAATACCAGATAGGTTAGTTCAAGTTGTCATTAAATCAACAACCAGTTGCGTTTGTTTATGTTTTTGCTTAGAAAACACCACTACAATGTTAAACTATGAGCTTAAGCACTGATGAATTCATGATAGCTTACATTTATTTCAGTAAATTTGGACTGATCGAGTTATCCATTGTTAAATACTTTTTTTTCTATCAAGTGGATTATATTGTTTATGATCATTTGACTATTTGTTTGTAACAGGAGAGTTGAAGATACTGTTCGAATGCTTCGTGAATCAAGTGAATTTGTACAACAGATTGCTCTTGGACATCCACCAAAGCGTCAAAGTGAGTACGAGATGACCATATCTTACTGTTGTTATACATACCATTATGCTATCTTGTTCAGATCTAACACTACATAATGCTGTTATGTTAGCAACACTATCGAATAAAAACGTTGTTATGATTATTGTTAAAGAGGTTTCTTAAAAACTTAACGATCTGAAAGAGTAGCATAACTTTCGATTTTCCTATCAACTGTGCTTGTATGCATTGGGACGAAGTTTGATTTAGAGATGATAATGTTCTCATCTAACACCATATCTTGCATACATTCTATTCATCCAACATGGCGTTGTGGGTGATTTTGTTATTGTTGTAGTAATATCACATCATTCTAACAATATACCTAAAATGTATATATCATCTTAGTTCCCAGACAACAAAGCCTACGACGGTTAGTCATGAAAGTGTCTACCAACAAAAGAGAAGGCCTTCCAAGTCTTAACGAGGACCAGTTTCATGCTATCAAAATGTCATTGGAAAACAAATTCACAGTTGTTCAGGGACCGCCAGGTACGTGTTTTCTTTGTACTCAATTGTGACTATTTAGCAATTTAATTTCGCTTATTATACATCCAACATTTGTTATGAAGCAAATACTCACAAATATGGTACTTTTTTTATAATGTTCATTATATTTTTTGTTTCAAGGAACTGGCAAATCATACATGGCAGCCAATCTCGCCAATGCTTTCGTATTGTCAAATCGAGATGAACCATCAATGAAAGGAGGACGTATTCTCTACTGTGCTCCTTCTAATAAAGCCGTTGATGTCGCAGCAGGTATAATAATTTTAATACAGAATCTGAAATTGATAAGTAAACGTCATTACTATAATAATGAAGGGACATTTATCTCAAACACAATACTAAAACCATGCCATAATTTTCACGTATGACCTTGTTAGAAATTAGACAATGACATTACTAATTGAATAATGACAATCTACATCACTATAATAACAATAACTTCTTTTATTCAGATTACCTTACACGGTTTGATATGAATATCATCCGTATGTACAGTAAGAGCATGGAGGGGAAAGACTACCCTGTTCCAGGATTGACCGATATTACACAATACAAAAGAGGAAATAATGCCGAAAGTAGTCCGGCTCTTGACGACATTGCCTTACACAGAGTGATCAGAAAAGCACCATCTAAATATGGTAATGAAATAAGACAATTCGACAGCCGATTCAGAAATGCTGCAATTCCCTCATCAAAGAAAGATATTGAGGATTACAAGGCTCTCATTAAGAAGGCAGAGAAAGATGCACTAATAGGATGTGACGTCATACTTTGCACATGCTCAGAAGCAGCCAGTAAGAGATTGGATAAACTTTGTATTCTGCAGTGCATCATAGATGAAGCAGGTATGTGCACAGAGCCGGAAACTTTGGTTCCACTGGTGAGAGCAAATCCCGAACAGGTCGTCCTTATTGGAGATCATCGTCAACTACAACCGATAGTTACACACAATTTATCAAATCAAATGGGACTAGGAGTGTCTTTGTTAGAGCGTTACTGCGATCAAAATCACTTCATAAGACTGAAAATACAGTACAGAATGGTAAGTAGATCTGGGAAGTGTCTTCTAACTAATTTATATTTTGATCAATCATGCTTTGGGGAATTCGAGTCACGAATCAGTTGTCGTTGAATTGTAAACAGATTTTGAGGTTTTTTTTCCTTGTATATAATTAAATTAATTCCTCAATATCCTGGAAAGTCATTCAGCACAGTAGTATTTGCCACTGCGCGACATTAATATCGATATGTTTCTTTCGTGTATATGTATTCATCTAATTAATCACGCCTTAGACAAACTGATCCATTCAACTTATACTGTAAATGAAAACAATAATTGGTTTTATGTTATTTCTAAATGTAGCATAATGCCATATGTGAATTTCCAAACAACCAGTTCTATGATGGAGATCTTGAGACAGCTGAAACAGTCTTGAAAAGATCACAGTTAAAAACTACAATGGACGGCGTATGGCCAGGGGGAAAACACGTCCCAACTGTATTCTGTCATTCTGTGGGGAAGGAGGAATCCCTGAAAGTAACTACCGACGAAGGAAGTGAGCACTCAAAGAAAAACTTACAGGAAGTGAAAGATGTTGTAAGTTATGTCACTTGTTCATTGAAATATTACAAGGTAGCCGTCGTCGTCGTCGTGCAGCGCGCTTTCGAAGAAACACCTCAAAAACCTGTAATATCACAGTTGACACAGAATATTATGTCATTACCGTGTGTCATACAATCAACAAACAGGCATGGTTGTGGAACCAGCCATAAATTATACGAAGTTATTCTCAAGATGTATCATATTAAAAAAGCGAGAAGATAGATTCGGTAAATGTGGGTGCATATGTGTGACTAGAAAATAGTACAAATCTGAATTGAAGTGAGATTGTTTTTTAGTAAACATGCCAATTTGTAATACAAATATATAGATTAAAGAATATGAAAACGAATGTAATAAGTAATACATTGATTATTACGTTATATGCTTAGAATATACTTTTTTAGATTAACATTTGCCATATGTTTACTTGTTTAACAATATGTTGCATACATTAACAGGTTCGCATAGCAAAGATACTGACTACGAAGTACGGACTTGCAAAGTCACGGATACAGATCCTATCCCAGTATCGAGCTCAGTGTCACGAAATTACAGGAGAACTGAAGGGAGTCAACTGTCAAAACATTGGCGTTAATTCCGTGATTGGTTTTCAAGGTGTGTGTTTTCAAGAGTACTATATACACTGTAACGACTCGGTCATAATGGATAAAAAGAAACCTCTATGTAACATTAATATATAAAAAGTCCATGTTAAATGTAACACATCGTAAATGACACCTTTTCATTTGTTGTTGTATTTGTGCTCTTTCCAGGAAGCGAACAAGATTATATCATACTTTCTACAGTTCGTTCTTTACCGCAACGGGAAATTGAGGAGCGACCAACAAAGGGGTGGCTGAAAAAGAATTTGGGCTTTGTAACAGATGAACATCAAATCAACGTGGCTCTTACACGGGCCAGGAAGGGACTTATAATTATAGGCAAGTAACACATCTATCATTTTATCATTTTTTTATATCATTCAACTGTCATGTCACAAATGACAAATTTTTAATCAGTAGTATAACATTAACCATAAACTATATCTCAGCCAAATATGAATTCGTGCGCATCAGGATCAGTTTAAAATATACGCGTCACGTCACCGTATGATGGTGGGTGAGCAAATATTATAAAAATGAAAAAAAAACAGCAAACAAAATTTTTAAAGTTTCTTTGCACAATATCTCAGAAACAAAAAGACACACTTACTAGCCTAACATATGTTTTCCCAATACACTACCAATTATTTTAATAATATTCCGTGTTCTCATTGCACATACAGGTAATGCAAACTTGCTGCGAACAGACTACAACTGGCGTAGATTACTTGAAGAATACAGACGGAAGAATTGCTGCGTTGATGCACGAAATTTTCCGTCATCTAAACTTTATTGATTCTAAGGAAGTGCGATTTTACTTTTTCATCAGCGAAATACGTTTCCTGTGCATATTATTTACTAACCATTATTTTACTCATTCTTAAACATCTATTTCACCCGTCCATGCTCAAACATGAGGATAAATAACTTTCGTGTTTTTATATATGTAAATTATATATATGTTTTAATAGCGTTCTTCATTTGCTGAACTGGTGATAATGGATTTTTATATTAGTTGTATATGTTTACATTATATATATGTATATGCCATAATTTATAATGAAATAAATAGCAGTAGTAATACCGTGTTCAGTAAAGTAGAGTTTAATAGTTATTGTGTTATCAGTCAAATATTCCCGCAACCATAAGCGGGCTACAATTCTAGTCAGTTGTCGTCAACGTAACCTTATTGATGATGTTATGCATTAAACTTCAACTAATCGCAAACAGATCAATTAAAGTCAGCTGAAATACTGGACAAAAACAATTGTATTCAACATTAATATTTTGTTTTTGACATCGTCACGGTGTCCACTGAGCTAACTGACCCTCCCCCCCCCCACTAAATTGTGATGCCGGATATCCCAGTTTAACTGCATGACGGCGCAATAAACTTACTCAGACGTATAAAATGTGAACATATACTAACAACCAAGTGATCAGAAGAAAAATCTATAACCAGCCTAGAATCAGTAAAACATAAAATGTACTAAATTAATACAGATGGCGAGAAAGAGTCGAACAAAAACACAAAGCTTGTACATGTTTTGGGTATGATACATCAAAATATTTGCTTTGCATTATATGAAACATATATGGTATTATATGTTTGTTTTCGATGACAAATTTGCATAATATTCAAATGGTCGACCTGTATGACAATACAATACTCCAATAGTATTTGTACTACAATATATTTGTCTATTATTATGAATTACTGAATAGAAAAAGTGTTTACTTAGTAATCTGGCAACACCACTGCCAATATAAAAATGCTATTGTATGTGTGGCACTGACCAAAATACATCCTTGACCTCTACGAACCTTCTCTTTGATACATAAATATGTACATTTCACAATTATGTTTATAAATGTATTTTCTTTATTAATTTACATTATTAGATGTTTGTAGAAGATAAAAACTTAATTTCATATTCTTAGTGATTACATTCGTTTTTACATCAATGATATGACCATGGCCACGTATTGTCATATGTTCGTTTGTCGCGTATTTGTTTTTGTAATTTTCGATTTGTAATTTAATTTCATGGGATATGCTTATTTATTTCGACTGATGGTATAATTTAATTATTCTATAATGTACATAAAAATGGTTTACCAAATATTCCTAACTGAACACACCCTACCGAAATTATCAAACTTCTTCAACATTGCAATACCAAAACACACAAAGCAAATGTAATTCAATCACGTGGACCAGAATGCAATTAGTCGAAAATGTTAATATTCAGTAGATCAATTGTTAATTTTTGGAATAATGACAATTTTAAATAAATGTAGGAAGACCGTAGTTTGAACTCGTGTACACGCATAGAACATTACTCATTACTCATTCATAGACGCGATGGTGCATTTTCTATGACCAAAGATCGGGAAATATCTCGTATTGTCCTGCAGCCTGTAATGAAACAATGAAATTAATCAGTACACTTGATGGTCGTATTGTCGCAGTGTATTGCTATTCTACACACATGACCTCAATAAATGTTTGCATTGTATTAGGCAGCCGGAGAAATCACAATGTCAATCAAGATACCATTTCAAGGGAATGCAAACTTGAAATTCCTACTGTTTTATGTCTAATATTACTCTTATAATATATTAATTAAGTTCTAATAGTTGTATGATCATGGAAAATAAATTTAACGCATAAACGTGTTCTTAGCTACCTCTTGCTACCTAGCCTATTGCAAGGTCGCTAAGCTAATGAAAAATCCATATATTTACATAAAACAATCATGGCGACGTTACCACGGGCTAACATACAGCGGTTTTGTGACTGCACGCAGTCATCGTTCGTTCAAGCGATTTTTCCTCCTGGATGTCCTTCTTGTCACAGATGAGGCTTCACATTTGTCAGTTTATGAGAATTGATATCGTTTTTAATCTAAAGTCTAAAGAAAATTTATGTTGCAAAATTCGATTAGTATGAATAACAATGTGAGTAGTTACCTGATAGTGTCATTGCTAAACTGAACTCTTCTTTTAGTATCTGGAGAATGTTCTTGACACCTTGTTCACCCTGAGTTACAACAAAGCACACTACTGTACAATCCGTTATTCTCACTGGAATTTCATTTCATTATTTTGAGCATATTCACGGCTGGGTTTTCAGTTTACGAGTTTGTCAGCAAAATAACTAGTTTTGTTGTTATTTCACATGTTTTCCCTAATTTAATTTTAAATATGGCTGTAACAAATTGTATGTACATAGTATACTTGCACTGTTTTTCCAATTATAACATGCAGATAATAAAACAATAATTTGACTCGATGATAAAAAGTATATATCATTGCTTAAACAATACAATATGCAAAAAAGGTTAAAATGTCAGTCCGATTACTCACACTATGCACTAATCCAAAGACGATTGGTCTACCAATGAAGACAGCCTTAGCACCAAGAGCCAATGCTTTCAATACATCAGTACCTGTACGAACACCACCATCCATGTAGACTTCTATTTTATCACCTACAGCCCTGGATATCCCTGCTAACACATCTATCTGCGGAGAATGGAATTTCTTGAAATTAAACTCTCTTAAAACAGTAAATACTACCGCAAATAATTTACAGGAAAACAAGATGGCGATGTGAAGACATCCAAATCGCCACAGGCTGGAATAAATCATTCTGAGAGGGACGTTCACAGTTTATAACTAATAAAACAACTGACAATGCTTCATTCATATACATTTATATAACGCATATTGTGAAATATAATGCCTGTCTTAAGTTTGATTTATTTTGATTTATTATAATATTCAATTCACTGGACACCTGGTAAATTCCTAGCATATTTTAGACGTCCTGGTAAGCACCAATGTGACAATAATGCAATAGAGTCGCATTATACACGGCTCAGACACACGTACAGTGAACTAAACCCGTTAAAACACTCTGGCCCGCGTCACCAATAATTAAAATTTCTGTGTCTTGGCTTATAGATCAACCATTGCCATACTGTCTCCCTTTGAAATAAAAGTCACTAGCTGCCCATTTTGGTATAGACGGTATTTGTTAAGTGGACGGGAAGTCTTACTAGTACCCCGAGACATGTGTTGCGAAAAACCGCTTAACTGGCAGTGCCAACAATTGTTACAGGTATCCCAGGACTGATTCGGTAAATACGATTTCGAGGAAGTAGCACAAATTCAATCTAAATCTCATTTTGTAAAATCAAACAAACACCTTCACAATCGGGTATTTCTATCATCGTATATAACGCTAAGATATTCATAATCTATAAACATTCACGTTGTTGCTACTTTACAGCTACAGTCGCTAATTGTCATATGACGCGCGCCCTCGATTGATAAAATAATGGAAATGCACTGGGCAGTTGTCCGTGGTAGTATCATCACACAAGCGCATTTTACATATACGTGAACATATTTGTTTGGTTGTTATGACATTCGAATTTTAATGCTACATTATATATGTCAACCAGACCAATTAATGATGTTGATGAGTTATCCAGTCTCACGAGATTTGAGACTTACCGTTGCTGGTACACTATCTAACTGTCTCCCACCATGGTTAGATACCATAATAGCATCCACTTTACGTTCCACTGCAATCAATGCATCTTCAACTGTCATAATGCCTTTGAGTATTATGGGTAATTTGGTTATAGACTTTATCCAATCAATGTCAGTCCACGTTGCACTTGGAGTTGTGCAAGAAACTTCATCAAGATTCTTAATGATTCCCTGTAAAATATATGTGTATTAATCTTCTAGACATTACAGATTATGTGTTGTGAACATTTATAGATTGGGATGTGAGTTATTTTATATTTAGCAATGCGTTGGGCAAACAGACATGATCTATCAGTCAGTCGAATTCGTTCATGTGTGACCACCAGAATGCTGTGTTCTATCTTGAAACGTAATACTGATATCATCTATAGTTTATTACGCAAACTAAATCATACCACTTCCTCCAATGTGAAGGTAAAAGAATGTCGTTACGTTTGCGATCTCAGTTTCATCACACAATAATACAATTAACAAAACTTACCCTCTCCAAATATGTCATGAAATTAGCCACAGTCGAGTCTTTACCAACACCACTACCAGTTACACGGGCCAGTCTTCGTTTATTACCAACTTTACAGTTATCGACAGTGACAACAATGCCTTTGCACCCCGCACGTTCGGCCCTCAAAATCATATCTTCGGTTAAACGTGGGTTAGACCAAACATAGATGTCCATCCATTTCACGCCATCCGGACGAATCGAACAAATTTCTTCGAGAGACAGCGTACTGATATTACTGAGTATCATGCAAGTTTTGAAATTTGCTGCAGCTGTAATACAATATAGTGAGTGTAACTGTAAGTAATTGACTTATTTTTATGTGTTTACTACAAATTTAATGGTTGTTAGGATCTATATTGGAAGATAATATATATGGTAGTTTCAGATATCAGAAAATATAGAAATTGTATATACGTGAGGCACTAGTTGCGATTCTCTCCACGTCAAACTGCCCATGCACGCAAATTTGTTTCACCCATGCCTAGTTGTCGTTCCTCGCGGAAAGTGTAAAGTCTAAGAATTTAGTTTACTGTAAAAATGTAATTATTTTAGCAAAGCGCCCTGAAACCGTAAATATGGTTTTCAACATGACTCATTCCTTCATTATACAATAACAAATGATTGTAATATAAAGTTCGTGGGACGAAGATTATGCGCGCTCACAGATTACGTCTGTGTGTGTTTTGGAAGCGGCGTAACTAATAAAACAGTCGTGTCCCTATAATATCAAGCGTATTAAACATGTGTTCATGTAATTATAATGTGTTGCTCGCCAACAAATCTAAACAGAAGAAAATTACAGAATCTCTTCGTAAATCCAATAATGTAGAAAAACTCATAAGATATGTATAACTATCGTCTTTATGGAATAATGTTTCCTACCTCTGGCTGTTCCACCTTCTGCATCAGGATGAGCCCAGCCGTGAAATGCTGTTGGGGATATGGCAATAGGCATATCGATTTCACTGCCAAGAACTGTAGTTTTTAAATCACGGATCGAGACATCTCGCAAAACTCTTGGTCTTAGGCGAATCCTATGAAAACACGAACATTTGTCGATGATTTGATCTTAATAGTCGTCTTTGTTAGTAATGTCATCGGGAATTGATTACGTATGGAGTCCTCCTGCACGCAAGGGAAGGGTAATAGAACAGTGGACGTGATGAAATAATGGAACACTATTTGAAGAGGGGGTAAATATAGTGATTCTGCAGCTCTCAACAAAATCTCGGGGGCCATTTGTATTCAAGGTTTAGTTTCCTGCTCGCGCTAACCTGGTTGGTATTGTCACATGATAAATATGTATCCAAATTGTACAGGCATTGTATCACCCTGAAAAAATATGACTTAATCGAATGGACTATCACGTCCTGAGAAACTTATGAATAGTACATTGTTCTAGATTAAAATTTACTATAAATTAGTCTAAAACTGTTACACCAAGGCGTAGATGATTTGTTATGGACATTTATAAATATTTATAAAACATTCATCTCGGACCTTCATTCAAATCCAAAGATGATACTTTCATTGACTGTAACTATAGTAAGCATTTTGTAACGCCTATTGCCCATGAGACTTTCCGGGGTTTCTACGACCACTGGCGGATTTACTGGTATAATGACACACAAAATTCACAAACACATATGTTCCATTCAATTTGTTTAAAATGCTTGAAATTGAAGCGATCCGTTCACTGAAATTAAATTGAAAGTATAAAACTACAAATGGTACCATCATCGTTTGGCACGGAACATTAAATTGCAAAAGAGAGCCAGTGTTAAAAGAGTAGTTAAATTCATTGGACACGTTGTTTTCAATCACTATTTAAAACATATTAACATATAACAATATTTTATATAAAACAAATTCACCTGGTTCAATAATCCTAGACGCAATATCCCGCGACCCGCCGTAGGCGGCAGTATTTTCATTCGAGGTCAATTTTGAATCACCAGGTCATTCCTAAACGCGTAATTAGGACTGAGTCGGGAATCAATTTTGGGTGCCAGAAATCATCCAAAGACGTTTATTTGGGTATAATTTGCGCTGTCAAGACAAAGTTCAGGCTAATAAAATAAGATTGACGACGTTTTCCCATGAGAAAAAAGTGAATTATTTGTTGAAAAAGGCGGAGAAAAATTGATACGCAGAAATCGTGACGTTGACTCTACGCATGCAATGCAGCGTCATGGAAATTGTCTACAGTACACGTACACGCATCTTTCGATGACGTGATTATTTTGCCAGCCAGCCCAGGACGCCGTACAGACATTGTACTAAGGTAAGAGCCTTTGCCCTTTTCTACAAATTTTAATACATTCTTAACAATTGCTTTACCTCTAAAACTCTGCACACCATGCTATGATCATTCAGTGTTTTGTACTAAACGACTCATCGCTTAGCAAAGCCAATTTTCAGGATTTATTGGCACATGATGTCATGAATCAGAGAAACTAATGACCAAAAATAAATATTGCATCGTATATAAATGATGACAGCGATTTACTAGGTCTATGGCCTGTGAACTCATATGATGTGTGTGCACGGTGCGACTAGTAACAATTACCTAACCTACCGGTTCTTCACGGCCACAGTTGTCGCGATGCATCTCAATAAAATAACATCTAAAACCAATTAATGCCGATATGTGTAAATACTTGTACATTAATAGTCTAGTCTATGCAACCAGCAATAATGACATGCAAGAATGGCATTGGCAAAATGATGACCTCGGATGTAGCCATGTCTAGGGGCAAGGATATGATTTATAGTCTTTGCCCATTAATGTAATGTTATAATGTATATGAAGTATGTGATCATGATTAATCTTCATGATCATTTGTGACCACACCATTGATTATTCGGCATAGGCTACCACACACTATAATATTGAGCAGAAAGTCATGCAAGAAATTGCATTTGATTCACCTCATTGGCATGGCTGGCTGTTCACTACAAGTTTCTTGTGATTTAGGCGGATTTTTGTCACATGCAAGAAACAGCAAGAGCTGCAATGTGTACATCAGGGGGCTTTTATCATACTTGTGATATTGCTACTGTAGGTAAATGGCCATAGCAGGAATGTACATAACTGTCATTTATTAGGCAGAAACTGATAGGGGCCAATTCCTTGTGCTCACTACATACACATGTACATCAGTGAAGGTTCTTCTGTTGCCAGCTGCCATTTTTGAAATGGTACCACCGATCAACAGTTCATGCCACTCACTTCAACCTTAAACAATGATATGTGTTGTCATTTGTTATTAATTTTATTATTATGGAAATGAGTTACCTTTTTCTAAAATAAACAAAATTTGATAGTAATATCATCATGTAAAAAAAAATTGTTTAAAATGATTGTACTTGATATAGACTGAACATGTTGGGGAAAAAATAAATCTAAAATACACTGTAACCTCAATATAATGAACACCGTTATAATGAACTTCCTGATATAATGAACACATAGCGTGTCTCCCGCTCACAACAAACCCAATGTATTGTGTGCTCATTATAGTGAACATTTCACTATAACAAACTAATTGTATGTCCCCCGAAGAGTTCGTTATAGCGAGGCTACAGTGTAATAAAATCCCTGCCTAACTACCAATAGATTTTACTCTAATACTGGAAACACCAAATTTGTTTTTCATTGGCCTCATAATGGTTTGAGATCTTTTTAACATGGTCCACATAAATAATGAGGGATGAACTGGGATTCTGTACAAACAGGTCCATGCATTTACATTCTATGTTTCTGGTTTGATGTTGACTCATTTACAGCCCTGTCATTGGTGATACAAGAAGTTTACTCCTTATAGCATGTGTGTGGGTTGTCTTATGCAAACCAACAATGCTGTTTTTGCACATGGTCAATTCACTCCGATTATATGTCAGTTGACACATTACCATTGCCATGCGATAAATTCATTACTTTTACCGGTTCTATCAGTCTGATGGAATTGATATCATCATTGATAACTCTATGAAGTACAATTACATTCTATATAGTCTCTTTGCACCTACTTGATTTCTTATTCATTCTGAATGGACAGTTGGATGAACATACAATAGCCTTAAAAGTAAGGGGGTATATTTGTACAACACCCTGTAACTTTGCATGATATGGGTCTATAATACTGTCTTGTAAACAGTTAACTACTGGTTTTGTACAGTTTATTGTTGCTGCACATATACTTATTTTTGGCAATATGACTACTACCAAATTGGTCGGTGGTGATACCTATCATTTGGGTCTTCCGTCGACACTTATCTGCTTTTGCACCATGAGTCGTTCCATGCACATCATACCAGATTTAATCATGACACTCCGTTTACAACATTAATTTACCTCATTATAATGTGCATAACCTGTGTTTTCATTGAGAGGATACTTGAATGCACGGTAGTGCTTTCAGCATCCTCTCACTAGTTATTTACAATGTGCCTCAAGATTTAATTTAAGGAAAGTCCAATCATATCCAAAGCATTTCAACAATGTTCTTCTTATTGAACATTCCTCTACTCAACACCTTACTCAAATCATTCATTACAATATATAATCCTTACCACTTGTTTTATTATTTTCTTCCAGGCGAGATAATTCAACCATCACCTGTATCTCCTATTGGTTCAACTTTTTACTTTATTCTTACTCGAATTTTTTTGTAAACTTGTTGTATATTGATGGTTAAGATAAAAAATAAAAACTGTATTTTTTCCTTGTTCATTACAGA